GCATTAAATTCGATGGAACGTCCGCCCTCTCTACGATGGCAAAATTAGTCTGAAGGTTGTTGTCTGTGATGACGCTCCAAGCTAGGCCTAGGTCTGTCTCTTATACACATCTAGATGTGTATAAGAGACAGGACGTTTATAGTAGGTTTCAGAGCCCGGGTCCTAAACCTATAGTAGGAGTGAATTAGAAATTGTACAGCATTTAAATCAACACCAAATTATATGTATATAATGTTTACATATTTATATATTTTAAAAGTATTCATTTTGAGTGATTCCAGGAAAGAATTTGTATTGGCTAGCAAAAAAAAGCATTAGAAATCTAACACTGTTTACAAGGGGGCTGGATACGTTCCTGTATTATAGGTCTGTTTACAGGGTTTAATTTTAACCCCTAAATAATAACACGCTTTTGGCTTGTTTGAAGAACACAGTGAAGAATAGGACCACGGAAAGTAACCCAGTGATCAATTTTTGTCGCTATTTATTGTATTTATGGCCTACCGTATATAATCTTGTTCCAAATCACTCCGTGCACATCCGGTGCCAAATTAAATTGCCTCGCGGGGATTGTGTGGACAGAGCTGATAAATACAAATAAATCAAGCAAAAAAGTAAATTATCAGTAATTGCTCGAGGTATACGTTCAGGGAAAGCAAGCAGAAAGAGAGGGTGGGGATGGAAATTGTTGGGCATTGGTGACTTGGTGAGTCCAGATCCACGTCCACTGACTCATATTTCCTAAGGTGTGGTCAAGGGGACCTTTGCATGTTGTTGCCACCATATGATAAATAGTTTACAATTTATCATTTTATATATAAAATAATAACTACCGTACTTTAGTTAAATATTAATGAGGTTAGTATAATGAGCAGGTGACATCATATATTAGAATAATGTAATAATGCCTTTTATTTAGATTCAGTTTTTCCAGTTTCTTTTATTAACATTAAAATTGCATCCAAGTCCGAATTATATAAAATTTACAAAAATACCTATTTAAAAATTTAAAACATTAACCATGGACCATAATCCTATTATTAACAAGGGCCTGCATTAAACAAGCATTAGGAGAAGACATGAAAAATTGAAGTAAAAGAAACATTCTCCGTAACAGTATTACATTTTTCTTCTACCATAACATCTAATTTTTATTATTGGGGTTTAAGGAGTGTATAATTGCATTACACATTGCCTGGGACAAATGTTGGCTGTGACTTGGTGGAATTGAGGACCCATAAAGGAAAGATGTTTGACACATGGCCAACTGGCATGTGGACACACCCTGGTCTTGCACCCAATCTCTACCCCAGCTTATGGGTTAAATAGTAAACACCTAACACAAATCAAATGATATTTAAAATGTTCACTGAGTGTTGGTGCAGCCACCTTGTCTCACACTATTCACACAAGTTTATTTGAAGCATATTAAGATTCTCATTCACATCCAATTTGAGGAAAATGTCATGAATCCTGCCCTCATGTGTGTAGCATCCATCAACATGTGTACTCCAGTGTTACAAGATATGCATTGCAGTCTTATAGTGCAGAATCCATAGCATGTGCAATAAACTGTTTTTTTTAAAATAAAATATACATGAAGCCTGCCCTCATATGTGTATCATACATCAACTCCAGCGGTACAAGATATTCATGAAGCGTAGCCTCATGAATGTATCATCAAACAACTATTGTATGATTAATGTATCATTAAACAACTATTGTATGATGAATGTATCATCATACAATAGTTGGTTCATCTTCAGGGTTCATCCAGTTCTGTACCAGTGTTTCTCCAGCTGACTGCATTAGAACATCTCCTAGCCGCCCATCAAACATGCTAAATATTCCACCCGATGCATAAAAAAGAAAAAAGAACATCAGAATGTGTTCATCTGTTTCCCTGCATACAAAAATACAAACCACCAATAATCATTAAATTGTATTCTACACACATGCACAACAAGACACTATCTTTGTTTTTACCATGTTGCACAGTGCATGTTAATAAGGAGTGTTTAAGAATGGCAACCTTAGCAAGATGAAAAGGTGGAGGGATTCTCAAATTTCACAGCCCTTCCTCAATAATCACAAACATGGATACATACCTGAATGTAGAAAGAGTATTCGACTGCCTTTGAACTTTGACCTGTGTTTCCTGAGCTCGTTGGTCAGTGCTAGTGCTGATTTAACAGTGTATGTGTGGTCAAGCAAAATACTAGTCTGCTGGGCTACTGTTTTAATGAATTCTTTAAAAAAATAAAAATATTTTAAATCAGTATAAAGAACTGTCTAGACAAGAAGTTTTATAAATACAACAATAACTTTCTTACCCAATTCCTCTGGTTTTGAAATGCCGTATCCTAGTCATCCCTCATGGATGTTGATGATGTCATTGACCTCACCGTGTCACCTAAACCAATACTGTTGAGCGTCTCATTGATATGAGAGTGAAAATATTTTGTATATGTTCTATGATGACCGTTTCATGCATATTTTTATATATATTTTATCTACTGTATAATGTGATGGTAAGAAAAGAGTTTCCCTTATAGCGGAAATATAAAAGACATCAGCTGCAGTGCAATTCCTTCCATAATGACACCAGGAGAAAATAGACTGCTCTTTCTGAATATTGTACCAAGTTACTTTTTATGCATTAAGTCCTATCATGTACACAGTTTAACATAGTAATAATAATAGTCTGTCACTTTTTGTGCATATGTGCTATCATGTACACAGTTTACAATTGCATTTAAAGGACAACGTACTTAGAGCGTGTGACTTAAGCCCTGTCAAGATTAAGTGTCAAACTTTGACCCTAGTACACTTAAGTTCACTCCATATATGTGTGTAAGTCATTATGTTTTAATAGCTGATGCCCTGCAGGTTTTTTACCAAACACCAAATAAAAAGATCAATTTAATAAATACCTGAGATGTGATCCAGTAAGGAAGTTCCCAATAGCAACACCAGCTGCTGTTCCACCACTGCCTAAAGTTAGTATGACATCATCAAACCTGTCAATCACTCCCTAAAATAATAAATCAATTAATTAATCTCTATTAATCAATAAATCTATCCATACATAGATTGCCTGGACCAGCCTTAAGCAAATCACTCACTAAAACAATCAATCAATCAATCAATCAATTAATTAATCAATCAATCAAAATGATAAAAAATATATCCACATCATCAAACAACCAATTGAGCAATAAATCAAATTAAATTTATTAATTAAATCAATTATTACAATAATACATCATTAATGAACAAAATCAATTAAAACGATCAATCAATCAATAACATCATAAGCATGCTTGTAAGGAGCAAGTGATGCATCGTGTAAGGTATTGGACTACTGATCGTGAGGTGCAATGTTGCACTCTCATGTCCTATGTATGCATATAGGCACAATTTAAACTCTTTGGGACTGGAATGTTTTAATCATTAAATTAATCCATGCATGATTAGAGCCCAGGACCCCTGGATTACCAGGCAAGCATCTCAACCAACAAGCTACAAAACTACTCAAAATTAAACACTGTTTATATATATGTTCTATAATAGATCTATTAAGATTTGTGCTGGATGAAAAATCACATGTTTTAATGTATTAGTTTGCAGGTAAGTTTGCCAATCAACTTACCTGTTCTAAGAGTTCTTGCCAGCCACACAAGTAACCATGGAGACCAACAACATTGGATCCACCAATAGGGATCGAATATGCTTTAATACCCTTTTCCTCTCTAAAAAAACATAAGGAAATAACATATTTAGCAACGTTTTAATAAAAAAATATGAATATGCTTAACAGAGCCCACAAAGACACATCAAATCAATGGCATTTAACAGTGGGTGACACGTCCCCCGATTTTACAAAGTTGGGGGGAGGGGAATCATATCAATTGTCCCCCTCACATTTTATCAAGTTAAAACTCCACTTTTAAAAACGAGTAGAATGTACAACAACAATTGCGAATGACTGTCATGAATTTTGTCTGTTCACTTGTGCTCTGTTTCAAGTGCAGTGCATATTTCCAGACAAAAATCGAGTAAAAACGCAGTTGTTTTTACATTTTGTAACCATCTCAGTAACCATAAATTTATTGTGAAAACAAAGTACTGTACGTTGAAGAAACTGAAAGCGTGTAAACCTATCAGGCCAACATTTTTACAAACTCAGAAGTGAACAATTTCTACTATAAATGATTTATTCCTTTTGTATATTAAGACCAGTATACACTAAGTGTTTAATATTATCTGCATACATTGCTTATCCTAATTTCAAAAAATTATAGTTAGCCAATTGAATTTTATATAGCCGTTATTAAACAATAATTGTACAGCCTTCGCCAAGTACATGTTTATCTATTTCAATTTATTTAAGTAGCAATATCACAAGTTCAAGAACTCCGATGTTTTGTTGACGCAATCTCGCCATGTCATGATAATGATAAATTAAATACAAATCACCTTTATGGTTGGGAAATAAAAATGCTAACTAATGTTTTGTGTGCTTCCATTCTCCCTAGTCCTGTTTGATTGTAAATTAGACGGTAGTATTTCCGCTCACAATATTGTAGTCGCAATAGTACAAGACTGTTCCCCTCACGCTCCTCTTTCCACAACGGATCGACGCGCTTGTTCTAAACAAAATCTGTACCATAACCTTCTGGTAGAGGAACGTGTGTAGAGGAATTTTTTGATGAAATATGCACCCAAAGGATGTCAGAACATGATTGACAAGTTGCTTCCCATTGGAATGTTAGTGGCAAGAGGTCAACAAGATGACACAGGATGAAGGTGATGGATGCCAGAGGATGGTTTGATTGATTGATTGACAAGTTGCTTCCATTTGAGGAAAATAAAAAAAAAGTGGTCAAAACTTCCAACTTACTGCAGTCTGTCGGCAAGCCGCTGCATTCTTGGCTCAAGGTCGGACTTCTCTTGAGCTTTTATGGGAACCAAGTACATGGATGCACCCATCAAACTGTTCAGTAACATGTTGCCATGACAACCAGTCTCAGAAAGGTTCTAATAAAAGATGCAAAATTAATTGCTGAATGATTGAAAATATGAGATGAATGTGTTAAGTAATGATTTATACTTTTTATATTATTATTTTCATTTATTTACTTGGGAGCCCTGGGGAGCAGTTGGTGGGGCATAGGCAGTGAGTATAAGCACAGCCTTAAATAAGTGGGAAAAGTCGAGGCTATAGTAAGAACGCTAGACTCAAATTAGATCAGTGGATAGAGCAGGCGATGTTTACACTGAATGTCATAAGAAATTGAGAATAAAGGGGTCCAGGGAAAGACATTCACAGACCATGGGTCCAACAACCGTCGTAGGGCTGAGAAAAACTAAAATTGTGGCACCTCTAGATCGCTGGAAATGGCTCTATTACACTTAAATTTGAATACAATTTTCTTTTATGTTTTCTCCATTCTTTAAAAAGAACTTTAAAAAAATATGATGGGGCACAGGTCAGCTGAGTCCCCCCAGTGTTCCATCTTCAATCTGCCACTGATAAGTATTTACCTCTGACCTGGACCTGAGTAGAAGATGGGTTTCAATACCAAGTTGTTTAGCTGCAACTGCTGT